TTGTCCTAACTGAAAGTATATATCTTGGTTTTATTATAGACGGATGGAAAGTAACGATGTAAAAACAATTTCCGTTTAAAAAATTGATCGGTTATTTTCGATTTCACATTTTTATAAACTTAAAATTTTCATTGCTCCGTTTCAAAATATTTCAAAATTCAGTTGTTATAACTGTAACATGAACCTGAATGAAAATATTGAATGAATTCTTCTTTTGTTCAAACTGAAATGATATTAATAATGATTTTATTATTTTTTTTATAAAGTACTAAATGGTTCTTATTGCTCTCAACTTCGTAAGTATAACTTTTCACCAAAAATTGAATTGTAATTGAATACTAACTTCATGTTAAATTGAAACTTTTTCCTGTAAAGCAAGGAAATATCATATATTATTTAATTCTATTAGCCTTTTTGGGCAAAAAAGATAGGCTGAATATTGTAGTTTAATAAACATGATCCATAAATATTTACATTCCCTTATATCTTAAATATTCTATGTTTTATAAGATATAAAAAACTGCAGCATACCTCCTTCTTGCATACAGTGATCTCCGATTTACTGGCATCTTTCCATTTAAACGGCTTAATATTTCAGCAGCGTAGCAATATGACAATGACATCAGCATATTGTATGCTTTCCACACCGACGTCAATACAAGGACGATAAGAATATTGCTCTAAGGTATAAAACGGGTTCATGTATGATAAAAGTTGGAAGGATTAAATATTAATAATATTTTTATTATATTATGTGCTCATTTTCAACAATCCTTCATAGAGTAAAAATTGGTATATTGTATTGAAACGTTATGTGTTTGACTTTACGACTTTTAACGCAAATAATCTTTTGTTTTTCACGTTTCATTATCCCATTCACACATTTGAACTTTTTCTCTCCCCTCTCTCCTTGGCTATTGCTCTCTTTCTGTACTTTCTGTCCCTATCTATCTATTCTGTCTAACATATTGCATTACTGGGAGGCCGGTGGCCGCAAAGGTTTAGGCGTTAACACGGCGCTCATCACTGTAAGATAAAGGTCCCGGGGTCGAGTCCAGCAGCCCAGCTTTCGAACCCGACATACTTACAAATGGGCTTTTGTTCAAAAACACCGGCACCCTGAGGGTTTATATGACCTACGCTGTTGCAAACCCTCGTAAAAAATAAATAAAATAAAATCAAAATAACATATTGTAGTCTCTTATTTTATAAACCCAAGTCTTTTTCTGCATATCCTTTATACTCTCTACATAATAACATATAAATTTATTAATCAAAACATAATAATTCGTAAAAAATAATATCTATATATAATATATTTTTTTACATACTACATATATTTGTAAAATTTATTTGTACAATGTATATAAATCCCAGGCCCTGAAGATGATCTCAATAAATACCGAAACGTTGGCACGATAAAGAAAATGTTTTTCTGAAACCTAAGTCACACCAGACCGCATCTCATGATCTCCAAATAATCGTTGACTAACGGTCATTAACATCACACATAATAACTATAGTTGAACAATTAAAACACAAATATAAATTATTCGGAAATCGTGTGATGCGGTCTGGTGTGATGTAGGTTTCAGAAAAACATTTTCTTTATCGTGCCAACGTTTCGATCTCTATTGAGATTTATCTTCATGGGATTTACAAACATTGTTTAAATTTAACAAATACATGTAGGATGTGGAAAAAAGTGAGTTTATACCATGCAAAATATATTTTTTACATTCAATCAAAGTATTTCTACTCACTCAAAGTGTTTGTCTTCTGTGTAATTGTGCATTTCTGGCGTGTCGTGTTGATAGTGCCAGTGACATTTTGCTGTTTTATGTTTATATATGTTGGATTTTGAAGAGGTGGGGAAGGAAGTCGGTATAGAAAGACATTTTTTTATAAGGAGTCGGCTTCTTTGAGGTGAAAAGGGCCGACGAATCGAACAAACATTTTGAGTGAGTAGAAATACTTTGATTGAATATAAAAAAAATTAATTTTTTACAGCTTATTTTGCTGTAGTTAATTTCAAAAACAGCATCACTAGTAAATCACATTGCTGTCACCTGACGCTTGTGGATTTTGGAGTCGATATGTGCCTTTTGGTTTATAAGTGACTGTCTATTACATCTTCTCAACTTATTATCCAAAATTCAATGGGCTATGACGGGATTCGAACCCAGAACCCTTAGCCTGACGAATACGTCAGACGGCCGCCATGGTCCTGGATTTTTTTATTTTGAGACTATTTGGTTAACCAAGAAAACAATTTTTAACAAAAAGTACAACAAAAAAAATTTAATCCATTCCAGTTAAATTTGAATTACCCAACAAAATATCTACACTAACTGGACCTCAAATAATTTCCATGAATTTATTATATTCCTCTTGGGTTGAATCTATTTTGTATTAATTTATGCCTTTCCACATTGCTCAATTATGCATTTTTTATTAAGAATTTTAACAGCATTACAACCGAACCCACACTTTTAATAATTAATGATTTTTGTTTGAATAAAAAAAATCCAAGAGTATTGAGCAATCGTGAGATGCGGTCTGGTGTGATGTAGGTTTCAGAAAAACATTACACCAGACCGCATCTCACGATTTCCGAATAATCATCGACTAACGGTTACTAATCATCACACAAAAATATAAAATTAATTTAGATAAAGCACATTCTATAATTTGTAGATTTAAATGGTACAAGTGCACAGATGGCTCAAGACATTGAAATATTATGTAGATCTGTGTTAAAACTAGAGTAACAAATAAGCAGTATATAATACTCATGTCCTGCTTAAAATGTAGTAAAATATTTGTTATGGTTGACTGGAAACCACTTAATTGCGTTGGTTAATTTTAAGTCGTATTCAATTGTAGTATTTTATAAAATCTGTTTTCTTGTTAGTCCAAGAAAAGCAGGTTAACCCAATGGGGTTAATTGACTCTATCGACCAATTTACTTTATTCGACGATATCGTGAATATTTGATGACCCACTTAGGTGTAGGTTTCTTTGGAGGACTTCCGGGAGTTACTCAGGTTTCACTATAACATTTATGGCTAACCTATTATGAACGGTGAGTCTTAAATTATCACGTTAACCAGTTTCTTGTTAAACAAACGGCTGTTAAATCCAGGATGTAGAGGTTTTTGGTGAATCACGGTAAAAGCTTATTGCTCGATGTAGACTTGACTGTTGGAAATGGCACCGATATAGTCTTGCCTAAGGCTTGAATTTTTTTGTACAACCAGTTGACTCGATTACTGAGGGCGCCCGTCAAACCAATTAATTTAAACTGGTTTTGTCGGCTTAAAAAAAGAAATAAAAAGAAAGCAAGACAGAAAGGAAAACCAACCGTTTATTCTGTCCTCATCAAAATTAAATTTACTTATACTGCTGCATAGAAAATAAAATATACCTCTTCAAATGATTTATTTATTTTTGTATTGAACAGAAATGTTGTTTTATTCGATAAAAAAAATTCATTGATTGAATATATAAAAAAATATATATTGCATTGTATAAATTCACTTTTCCACATCCAAAATTTAATTGTAAAATGTAAACAATGTTTGTAAATCCCAGCCCCTGAAGATGATCTCAACAAAGATCGAAACGTTGGCACGATAAAGAAAATGTTTTTCTCAAACCTACATAACACCAGACCGCATCTCACGATTTCTAAATAAAAATTTAAAAAAACCTACATTTCGGTAATAATAGAAGGGAGTAATTGCATCGTATGTTTATATATACAAGGTGCATCAGCTTCTGTAGTTTACCGTTTTAATTTGGAAAAGATTAACTTTAGGAAAAAATGTTATACAAACACCAAGTTAATTTTGGCTAGGAATGGCGTGGTGGTAACAGTTTTAACATAACTTTCCTATCTAGCTGCGAAATGACACTAATTTTGTTATTTTAAATAGGAATCCCATATTTGTATTATACAATTTGATTCTACGGCTTATTTTATGCCACTTTGACTGAAAAGAAAGTTTTGATAGGATTGACCATTTCTGAGTTAAATCTGTTACCACCACACGACTTCTATTCAAAATTAACTTGGGGGTTGTATAAATGTTTTCTAAAGTTTGTATTTCTAAAGATAATAGTTTTTTAAATAAACGGGGAGGGCCATCTTGTAACACAAAGCATACCCCTCACGCGTATTTTGTATGGACATAACGCAGAAATGTACGATCCTATCAAAATTTCCCCCCTCTAAATTAGAGCAATGATTGCTTTTTGTTTTAAATTAAAAAGCTATTCTCTCTGCCGACCATTGCCCCGAACTATATGCTTTATCTAGAGATCGAAGTAAACTTTCTTTTACTTTTCACCTTGAACTCCATTTCAAGTATTTCTTTCAAGAATTGCAGGCTTCCTAGAGTTCCTGCGATTGAGGTAGTTAATTTTTTTTGTTTAAGAGTTAGTTGAATTTATTTGAAAAATACCGTTCAGTCCTTCTTTAGATGATGTATCTCTCTGGAAGAACTAACTATCAAATTTAATAATAAAGTTGAGACAAATACATCGGGAAGAGTTTTGGCGAACGCTAGAGAATCAATTAGTTTAATTTCTTTCCGTTCTTTTATAAACAGCTGGACATTGAATGTATACGATTTTAATTCGCGAATGAACTGCCGATTAACATGAAGGAACTGGGTTGGCTATTTAACGTGAGGTTGAATTACCTAAATTTGAACCCATGGGTTGAAAGGAGATTTGAACAATGTTCATCGTGTAACTTAGGGGCGAGAGGATTTTTAAGCTATATATCCAGCATTAGCAGAATTCAGAATGGGACACCTTGGCGTATGTTGTTTAACAGAAACAAAATTAAAATAAATGCTATACAACACTGTAAACAGGTTGAATCTAGTAAATTATGCCCGCTTAGCTTGTCGTTACAGATATTATTTACAATTAGTTAATGAATTTAATTATTAATTTTCATCTTCTTGTATTATTCAATTAATCGAAAATTGCCTTGCAGTTTCACCGCCTCTGATCCTTACCGTCTTTTTGCCCGAAGTCTCAGAAATTACTGAAACATAAAGCATAAAAATTGGTGGGTTAAGAAAAATATCAGCGTTTTTAAAACTATTTATTTTAAATCCTCGTTAAATTCTGGAAAGATCAACATGTTAGACCAATTTATTTCTTAATCAAGCAGAATTTAAATTGAAAAGAATAATTTTATACTACAATTAATTAAGGGTTTTAGTTGAGATAAAAAAGTCAATGGCACGAGCGGGATTCGAACCCACGATCTTCCGCTAGATAATTAATAATTGTAATAATTATTAAGACATTAAAATATTTTATACAACTTAGTAATTTTTTTATATTTTAATGAGTACGTTTTATAAAATTTGATCTATGCTGCTTGGACTTCTCAAAAATCACTGTCCAATCCATGTAAAAATTTCTTAAATTAGATTTCAGCGTGCAAGTCAATTTTTTTAAAAATTCCATTCAATTGACAAATTTCGTGGTCCGCTTGACCGATTAATATATTACAATTAATTAAGGTTTTTAGTTGAGATAAAAAAGTCAATGGTACGAGCGGGATTCGAACCCACGACCTTCGGCTAGATACGCCGCTGCTCTACCACTTGAGCTATCGTGACTTCGATCCGCTCGGACACTAACTTCCCATCTCAACCCCACCTTTTGGATTTTCCCTCCTTAAATTAGTGCATGGTAGTGAATAGAATCTATCTAGCCGAAGATCGTGGGAACGAATCCCGCTCGTGACACTTACTTTTTATCTCATCTAAAAACCTTAATTAATTGAAATCTGGAAGATTAATTTTTTGTGGGTTGGAGATTTTTTGAGAAAAAATGTATTGCTTTTAAGGTACCCATGAATTACGCTGAATATACACTATATTTATTATTCAGAAATCTTGAGATGCGGTCTGGTTTGACGTAGGATTCAGAAAAACATTTTTTTATCGTGTCAACGTTTCGATCTTTATTGAAATCATCTTCAGGGCTCAAAGTGTTTGTTTTCTGTTTAATTGTGCCATTCTTGTGTGTCGTGTTAAGAGTGCCCAAGTGTAATAAAAATATTTGATTAGCTGAATTTGTTAATCAGTTTCATATCACAACTTAATTCGGACATGTTTTGTTTTACCTGTCTTCATTTTACAGATTTTTTTAAAATTTCAATTGTTCTTTATTGACTTTAATAGTTGTAATTAATTGTATTTGTTATCTTACAATTAATTAAGGTTTTCAGTTGAGATAAAAAAGTCAATGGCACGAGAGGGATTCGAACCCACGATCTTGGGCTTGATACGCTGCTGCTCTACCACTTGAGCTAACGTGGCCTCGACCCACTCGGACACCAACCTCGACCACACCTTTTGAATTTTTCCTCCTTTTTGCCATTTTTCAATGCCACTCGTACCATTAATTTTTTTTCGTCTCAACTAAAAACCTTAATTAATTGGTCAAGCGGACCACTAAACTAGTGAACGTATTTGTTATGTTGATATTGTTATTTTTTATTATTGCCAAATGTCTCAAATGTGTAATGCTTTAATTAATTTTTGCCACAAAAGTGAAACAGTTTTTTATATTTAAAGAATTTTTATCTTATTCTTACCTTCGATAATATAATTGCGTTTTTATGTGTAGCTCGACTGATTTCTCAAAGTTCTCGTCGCTCCGCAACTCTGCGGAGAGTTTCGTCAAGTTGCAAAACTTACAAATCAAGCTAATTATAAAAACCGCTTATTTTTTTCCAAACTGGTAGTACTTTGTTACTTGAGTTTTGTGTGAGGTGTTTTTAAAAAATGTTTTTAACATTACAACCAAGTTTTCAATATCAAAAATCCATTAATCGTGGCTAATAATTAACTATGGTTGACTTAAAGCTTAAATAACTCTTCAACACACCATGCGGTTTAATTACCTTGTACATAGTTCGATAAAGAGAATGCGTGGCAAGGGGCCGATCAATTTCATAGGATGTCACGTCAGTTCATCTCGGGCGGTTTTTACCCTGGCATAACAAACAACAATAATCTTTTGGCATATAATGTGAGATTTTTTTAGATGAAAAATAACACGGGGGAAGAAATACGTATTATTTTTTAATTTCTAATCTTCATTACCGTTAAAAAGTCAGCTCTTTACCTGATAGATAAACCGTTATCCGCTTTTAACTCGACTAACAGCTCTTCGTGACGAAATCTCAAATATCCTTAGGTTCTTTCCAACTGTAACGGGTAAATTCGTAATCGGATTACTGAATTAACGCCTCAACGACTGAGGAAATAAACAGGATTTTGTTTTTACTGGCGTTGGTCGAAGGAAAAAGCATACATGTTAATTTGTCCGGTTTTCTCTTGAAAATTCTATGAATTAATTTGATTTTCATTCGACTATTTATTAAACTGTAAGCGTAAATAAAATTTGGACTTTTTTGGAAGTGTTTTTCTTTCCCCCCTCGCGGTTTGACAGTAGCAGAGATTAGGTGTTCACGCAGGAGGGCTTAGCGAATTGTCATTTCCGATGGAATTTTGCGTCACTCATAAAACATTTATTCCTTCCACACGTGGTCATAAAGCTTGAACAACACATTTAAAACGTGCACAATCATACTTTTATAAACCTAATCTCATTTTGATGATTCTCAGCCTACTCAATATTTCACTGAAGTTCGTCCCTCATTTACGCTAAAAATACATCCATACACAACTTAACCTTACAAACAGTATATACAGTTTAAAATAATTAAATAATAATCATTCTATTCAAATAAAATAACTGAACTACTTTAATGGCTCTTTGAGGAATGTTCTGTCGTAAACCAACCCACACACGCTCAAAGACTCATTCTAATAAATACATTTTTACTAAAAAAACTTTTCGAAAAGTATGTATTCTATAAACATATGACAACTAACCTTCATTGATGGATCTGAGAGTTCTCTATTTCTATCGCAAACCCACTCACACATACTCAAGAACTAACCCTAATAAATACATTTTTATGAAAAGAAAACATCTCAACAGTACGTACAGTGAAAAGAAATGGTGATTCAATAAGGCATTATGGGGGGTCGGTGGCCGCAACGATGTAGGCGTTGACACGACGCTCATTAATGTAAGGTGAAGGTCCCGTGTTCGAATCCAGCGGCATACTTACAGACGGGCTTTTTTTCAGGCAGAGGGTTTAAACGACCTCTGCTGTTCCGAACCCTCGTAAAAAAAAGCATTGATTTTACGCTAGTAGTTGACCCTTCCAATCACAGTATAAATATGTAATAAATAACAGTCACCCGTTACCAAGCACGCTATTCTAAGACAAATAACATATGACGCTTTGTGAGAATACTTTCTGTTAAATCTGCGCACATGCACTTCAATCACTTTCACGCTAACACTATACAAAATCTCCCAAATAACACAAATCCCGAGTCATAACCAGAAACAACATAAAAACGTAATAGTCTAGTTTTGTTTTGTTTTTTTCTATCCCAGTGCGTTCAACATTCCTCGTGGTAGTTGAGGATTTAATTCCATTCACTCTAATAAATTACATTCACATACCAGGCTTCGTTCACATCAACCCAGAGTACTTTTGTTTTTGGAAAAAAATTTATCATTGCATTTTCTATTGGGAAAAATAAGTAATTGATAATAGTTATAAATTACACGAAACTATTGTCATATTTACAAAACATTATTCTTCAAACGAGTATTGCACATATATAAAATACATATGCATAATTAAATAAATGTAATTCAATAATTAAAAAAATAGTCCGTTTATATTGTTGACAAAATAACCTACTTAATACAATACTGAATACAATACACAATACTATTTCAGAAATTTGATTTGTATGTTTCTCTCATTTTTCAGGATATAGAGAAAAGCATCACTGTTAGTTCATAGGACAATAAAAGTGATGTATCAATCTGCTTCTATAGATATTCTAAAACAATCATAGCGATTTTATCATACGAATAATCAAGAGAAACAAAATTCATATTTTCTCTATAGATATTATGTCACCCTTGTATTGATTTTAAGTGGGAAATTTAACAACCACTAATATTAAAGTATATCCCCGTTTATCGTCGACTCAAGATACCATCAATTTATGGCCAATGTGAAATTAACTATCTCTAACCTGAATCGTTTCACGGAGGTTTTATTAAATTTTGCTTTTCTTGGAAGCAAGTTTGTTAATAATTCTCTCAATCAATGTTTAAAAATAATTTTTTGTGGTCAGATTTGAAAAAATACGGAACATCACCAATGAAGGTAAAATTATTGTATTCAGACTTTTGGCCTTTATACCATCATCAGCAGTCTACAGAAATTATACAAACTGTCTACAACACAGAAGCAAAAATATCCTATTAAGAATTTACTATTATATATAGTACCTGTTCATATAGTATAACTTATTCCAAGGGTTTATAAATTATAAAATGCCAAGGTAGAAATGTTTTAGGATCATTCGGTAATTATATAATATTATGTTAAGCAAATATTTAATAAAATAAATTATTTTAAGATGAATAGTTGATTAAATACATAGAAGAATATAAGAAAATATCGTAATCTACTAGAGTAAGTCCAAGTACTTTTAAAATCATTCTCGACTTCAGCCATTTTACTAAAAGAAAAATTTAATATGCAATGTGGTACAAAGAGCCCTCAGACTTTTTCATGAAGAATAATGAGACGAACTTCAAATTTTTAATATCCGATACATGAACCGTTGTTTTAAACATTTTATAATCAAATATAATAGCAAAATTGCCAAATATGAAAATAGCGATGATGTGGAAAGAAATAATTGTTGATGAGAAAGAAATAATGATTGTATTTTTTATTTGTTCATTAATGCCTTGCATTTCGCGCCTGCCTAGCTCTCGTCTTCAGGCCTGTAAGATTAATGAGTCAATAAAATAAATAATAATACTTTCATTTAATCGAAATAAACAAAATAAATATAAAGTTAATGATATCAATCTTAAGACGAGAAAACTAAAACTCTCTTATCGCACATCAAGTAAGTATTGATAGTGGCAGTCAGTGAATGAAAGATATGTATGTTTACCACTATGTATGTCATAGCATGTAGAATTTTTTTTATTTAAGGCATTTAATCATTTTATAAGCCTTACGAATACAAAACCGTGTATACCGGGATGTATATAATAGCAATTTTTTAAAGTTATTTTATTTATTGATGTCGGTACAGTGAGCAAATAGTATAGATAATTATATTCACTAATTTCGTGGTCCGCTTGACCAATTAATACATTACAATTAATTAAGGTTTTTAGTTGAGATGAAAAAAAGTCAATGGCAGGAGCGGGATTCGAACCCACGATCTTCGGCTAGATACCCGCTTCGCTACCACTTGAGCTATCGTGACTTCGATCCGCTCGGACACTAACTTCCCATCTCAACCCCACCTTATGAGTTTTCTCTCCTTTTTGCCATTTTTCAAGCTCTCCGTGGCCATTTCATTTGTCGTCGAGAATCCAATCCGATTACTCGACATTTGAAAAATGGCATAAAGGAGGGAAAACTCATAAGGTGGGGTTGAGATAGGAAGTTGATGTCCGAGTGGATCGAGGTCACGATAGCTCAAGTGGTAGAGCAGCGGCATATCTAGCCGAAGGTCGTGGGTTGGAATTTTATTTACTTGGCAGGGACGGCGTGGAGGATTAAGGATAGTCTTGGCTAGTGGGTTATAGTGGAGGAATAGAGTGGAATGTGAGGACATGTGTTCCGATTATACCCTTCAGGTATTTTAAGAACTTTATGACTCATCATAGGAGTGGGCGTAGAAGTTACTACGGAGAACTTTCGATTGAAAAGAGTGGATTCTTTGGATGTTGGAAGATTTGGAAAAACCCGAAAGTTCGAATACATAACACCAAATCGGTCTGATGAATATTTTGTAAGCGGTTATTTCGTTATGTATGCTTGAAATTGATTTTGGTCCCAGTGGGTGTAGGAGTAATCTGTATCTTTTGTTAATTTTTTGTCGTTGTTTTCATGTTCGGTTCCATGTAAGTAAGCTATCTAAATGAAGCCGAAGGTAGCGGTTTCGGTCGGATGAAGGTATTACCTTGTTTATGTGCATTGGTGAGCCTCGAAGGTTTGAGCGTAAACGTTAATAATTGGCTGCGGTTCAACTGATGCGCGACCGAGTCGGTTATGAGGTGCAGATGTTCTTGGATTGCTTGTATGGCTTGAAATATGTGTATACGATTTTGGTGTCGTCCGCATAGGTGGTGAATTTGTGTTTGGATGTGTAGAAATATCAGTAGGGAAGTGTAGAGGATAAGACTTATGATATTTCCTTGTAGATCGCCAGCTTTGATTAGCGTGATGAGTAAAAAATCGGTGCTGATTATCACTTTTAACCATCGATTCGTGAAGAAGGAAATCAGGATGAGAGAATAGGTGATGAGGAATGATATGTTTTAACTTGTAAATCCTTCGTAATATTTTCTATGTGTTGAAGATGGCCTAAAATATTCAATTTTGTAGATTGCTAATGAGGGTATATAATTCCAGAAACGTCTAAATAAATAATTTTACTTGCCATGGTGATTTTATTTCTACAGATCAAAAACCCAAAAATTAATTGAGAATATCTTCAAAATAACCATATTATTCACACAAATAAGCGGATTGAAAATAGTTTATAACAAAATAACGGTTTAAAATTAAACTTGTTTCTATTCAGTTTATTAAGTAGAATTTTTTCCACTTGAAAAAATAATTTATTATATTTTTGTTTTTTATTGTACGTATTTTTCACTATAGGTTTAAGGACCACTTAAGTTTGGTTTTATCAAGAGGTTTGGATGACCCCGTATATTAACGTGTGACCATCGAGTGTCCCATTTTTCCGATAGCCGGGCCAAATCTTTAAGCAATTTATCTGAGAAGGATGGATTGGCAATTTCGGACAAAGGCAAACTGCGGCTGGTTTATTTCCTAGGATCCCGTCCCAATTTCCTTGACACTCAGCACTGACAAGATTGATCTCTGTTTGTCCTATCTGAATCAGATCTGAAAATGATACCTATTTTTCTTGGGCATTAAAATCAAATCGACATGACAAGACTGTCAAACTAACGATTTACTAGTTGGCCGATATGGTCAAAGCACAACGCATTGAAATACAACTGTAGTACTCAAAAAACTAAACCCTAAAAAAATGTTATCTTGATATTATATCAACCGCTTTAAAGTTATTTTTAGAAACATTTTATGTCAAACATATTTTTCGAAAAACTTCATTTTTGTTTTTAATGGTGTTCAGTAATCTGCCAGAGCAACGTAATTTTACCTTTGCATTCAGTGCGGCGTTGATTGAAAAATAATTTATTCAGCTGATTGCTTTTACTGTATTAGACTCATATCGAGCGTGCTGTTTTTTGTGTGATATTCCTATCTCTCTTAAGCTACAAACTATTCAAGACCAATAATGATAAAGGTTTGTTGAATATTTTATGATGCTATCAAAACATCATTTAGCATTTTGCAATAAGCTTTGAACTTCAAAGATGAATTCGGCTTTGAAGCTTATGTTCTTGAACTTCTAATTTTATAGGAACAGATTTATTATCATTTTTAACCAACTTTTGTTTTTCTTGAATGCCTAGTATGTAAAAGTTAAAACAAAAAATATTTTAAAATGGTTTAATTTAACTGTCAATATATAAATATTTTACATTGAGATTTTATTTTTTCAAAAGTTAAGGATCGAGTTTTACATAAATTTTATGTCAATTTCTTGCTAAAAGAATTTGATAAAAATATTTGTATAAAATTCAATGAAGTAATTTTTTTTAACAATAAGTTTGCATAGTTTAGTAGAAATTGACTAAATCATAATCTTGGATTTAATAAGAGTGTTAAGTTAAAACGAAAAGTGATTAAAAGGATGATTTCTTCATTAAGGATTTAGTCGTGACAGACCAAAACAGCAAGACTAGGTAGACCAGGATGATCAAAAATTACCAAACTAAAGCAGATTACCTTTTAAAATATTGCAAAACTACATAAATAACAATTATAAAAATATTGAAATGCAACAGTTTTGCGACATTTTAGACGTTTCATTATTTAATGTAATTTTATTTTATTTAATAAAACACAGTTGTTAGGGTACCTCTTACCTGAAGATTATGCAAAGCTTGCCCGATATTCTTTCAAATTCACTATTTTTCGTGGTCCGCTTGACCAATTAATAACATTCAATTAATTAAAGTTTTAATTTGAGATAAAAAAGTCAGGGTCAC